GGCATGAAGGCATCACAGGTACATCTGTCCCCACTTCCACCTCCTGTCTCATTCCTCGCACTCCCCTCTCCCCACAGGCCTACACGCTGAGAGGAAGGGTCACATGAGTATACTGTAGACAAGCTTACCTCTCATGTCGATAGAGCCTCAAAGACTAAAGATGAATCGCTCGCTGATCTAAGTCATGCCATACATACCCCCCAGGCCATCGTGGAGCTCAGCAGTGCAAAGAAATACACCGTGCCGATCATTGTGGTGCAGTCAGAGTGCTTATGATTGAGACAGATGAATCTTCAGGGCTTATATAGCCAGTTTCAACATCCTGTAGGATGCAGCACCTGTCCTGGTTCACAGCACTGTTAACCAAGACACATGTCAAGATATAACACTTTATGATATCTTCAGCAAACAGAAATGAATTACTAACGTTTGGGTGTGCATCAGAATTCTAAGAATCACTGATGGATGGTTCTACCGTCTGAGTGTGACGAAATGTCTTGTTTCCTCCGATGGTCCATCCCATTCAGCAGGAAACTGAATGAAATGTTGATTGAGAGATGGCCTACTTGCTGCATGGATGAATTTGTCATTTCTTAGATTTCAGAAACAGGATGAAACATGAAGAATGAAAATCAATGTTTATTTAATAATTATGTGTAACAAAGAAGCCAGTGACAACAGGCAAAAAGAGTGCTAACATTTCATAGCGTTATACAGAGTTTGACAGTCACTTGACAGTTTGTGTTAGATTCTTTGAGCCCTTCTCCACATGTTTCTTAGTTTTCTTTTTCTTCAGTTTCTTGCTTTTGGCTTTAACCTGCGGCTGCTTGGCGTTGAGAGCAGGCCTGGACCTGGTCAGGTGGTTAGCAGTGGGGCTTAGCTTGCTGTGTCCCATCTCTGGATCAGAGCGTATACCCTGAGCAGAGATGGACTTGCCTGGGGCAGAGCGAGGGGAGTCATCCAGCAGGTTGGGTTGGGAGTAGGAGCGCATTGCCAGGGAACTGGTCGGACGGTAAGACATGGTGCCTCCTAACATGGGCAGGTGGACGTGCTCATTGCTTAGGTTAGTGACAGAATAGCGACTGCTGTTGGACATGACAATGTGGTGCCATGAGCTGAGAGGGGTGGCAGAAAACTGCTGCGGACCACTTGAGTCATCTTTGGCACCTCCTGGAGATATGACCATGGAGCTGTGAGGCGTAACTGCCTCCACAGCGCTCTGGAAGGTCTTGAGGATACGGTCGCTCTTCTGCTTCTCTTTCTTCTGACGGGACTCAACCTTCCTCAGCTGGCGGCGGTGATCTCTCATCATCTGTTTCCTTGTATCTGCCAACCCCCTGCACAGAAACATTACACAGCATTTGCTTTGTGGAGCCAAACTTTACAACATCATTCAAAGTGAAGATTTGGACAAATTCCCAGCTCATATCTAAAACACACATGGTTCAACTATGCCATCGCTGAAATAATAATAAAACGAGCAACTGTAAAAAAAAAAAGATTCACAGCAGTGTTGTTTCTCAATGTTTTCCAACAGTAAACCTTAGCCAGCACAGGCCTATTCTGTGACGCAGTTTAGAGGCCCCGTAATCAAACACCAGATGTGCTCACCTGTAGTCTACCATTCCTGTCCTGTCACGATCAAGTCTCTGAATCAGCTCTTCAATCTGGTATCGATCCAAAGGAATGCTTGATTGCTATCATGGTTTTACACAACAAAAAAAGACAGAGTCAGAGTCTCTACTTTTTCATGCAATGCATCAGTGAAGTTCTTTACTGCATGATTTTATTGATTAGTTATGTGTTTTATGTCGGTCACGATCAGCATCAGGAAACAGTTGTGAATAAGATTGGAAGAGACTTCATCACGGATGATTTCAGAGGACAGTCTCATCGTATTCTGTCACTGAAATCCATCAGTGGAGTTCTTCCTGCAAATGTCACTGACCCTACACAGTTAAATGAATCGATATTTATTCAGAAACCTGCACTGCCTTCCTGAAGTCAGCGACAGGGACTCGCATGGTGCCATCTTTGTCAATGTTCCGAAAGAAATCCCACAGGCGCAGCTTGCGTTTATCCAGATAGTCCTTTTGAAAAAGGAAGAACATGTTTTATCAATTATTAAATACATACAGAACCAAAGAAAGAAAGAGATGCAGTGTCTTGACCGTTTTACTCCATTATTGTGCGAGTAAAACACTTGTTAGACATTACACAGACAGACCTGAATGACTTTCATTGGATCGACACGTTTTGGTGGCTTCTTAGCGATGAAGCCCCCCACCCCTCCAAACTGCACGTCCAGACCAGGATGTTCCTGACACGTCAACTCCAACAGATGCACAAAGTTCTCATTTACCAGTACATTCTGCTTGTTAAGAAGGTGAAAAAAAAAACAATGCAATCTTGTCTTGATTAAAATTAACACAAAACTGAACTGTGGCAACAGCTAATGTGACTTGTTTGAACTGCGATCAGATTGCATAACAGGATAATTGGATCAGGATGCAAAACAGTGCCGAAAACAAGTCACTCACACACATGTTTATCTCCTCCAAGGCAGTTTTAGGTGTGTTCTTTACCACATTAACCAAGGCCAGTGCTCCCTCTACTGTTATAGAGTTGAACGCCAGCTGCAGGAGTATAAGAATAAAGCATCACCTTACAATTTATCTGTAGCCAAAGTGATAATGTGTGTTGGCTTAATACAACTTTGTCCACCCACCAGCAGGACACGGAGTGTGTCGTTGAACTCAAGACCTCTGCACAGCAGGCTGATGCCCTCATTGGTGAGGCGGTTGTTGTTGAGGTTGAGGTGCACCAGAGTGTTGTTGAATTTTAGGGCCTCTCCCATGGCCAGGGCACCCTCATTCCCAAAACCATTCCATGATAGGTCAAGGTGTTTTAACATCATATTCACCTAAATATTGAAAATGTACAGTACATGATTTCAAATGTTGTATAACAAGTCAATGATCGAATGAATTTCTTATAGAAACATACTTTGAGTCCTGCACAAAAAGCTACAGCGCCTTTCATCCTAAGATGATTCCAGCTAAGGTCCAGCACCTCCAGACCTTCATTGTTTGCTGTAGAAGTAGATGGTAAAATCAGAGAAAAATCTCACATTTAGAAAAATATTAAGACTGGTGAATTTGACCGTACCCAGCAATTGTCCCAAATGTTCGCCTCCTTTTCCACAGAACTCATTATGGCTTATGTCAAGTTCCTTAATTCTGGAATTGCTCTAAGTGTTAAAAGAATATTAGCAATATGGTCATTGAGAAAATATGAAAATGAACAAATGTTTAAATAAAAGAAATGGTTAATTCTTCTTTAACAACTTACCGAGAAGGAATCTGCAAAATATTTAGCATCATCATCAGTAAATCCATTTCCTGATAGGAAAATATTATTTGTTTAAATATACAAAATAGAGATGATGATGAAAATAATAATCGTATTACTATCATTGTTAAATTTACTGATCTACTGATTTACTGTAAGAAATGTTGTTTTTCAACAATTCAACATTTTCGTGTCACTCCCAGCTAATATCAGTGCAGTTAAATGCTGTTAATGTGCAAATTACCTGAAAGTTTAATAGACTTTAATGAAATGTTGTCCAGCAACATTTTAGCCACATACTCAGCTCCTGCGGACCGTAGATAGTTATTGGACAAATCCTGAAAGCAAAACAGATGCTGGTACAGTACATTTTATACTCCACTGTGAAAGCCATGTGAAATATCACCGGAAAAGCACTTGTGCCCTCTGGTGGTGAGTTTGCAGTCCTACATACCAGATGCTGAATGGTGAAATTAGCCCTCAACATCTCCACAAGGTATTTGGCTCCTTCAGCTTGAATGTGATTGTCTGCCAGTTCCAGAGTGTTGATATGCATATCAGACTAAACACAAAGAGCTTATCAGTAATCTCTACTTCAAAAAGTCAAACCCAATAACACGCTGGCATTTTAAACTTACCACCAAAGCAATAGCAAGTGCCTTGCATCCCAAAGGTCCAAGCCCATGGTGGGTAAGGGTCATTGTTGTACAGTCAAGGTTTCGTATAAAGTAGGAGACCGGCACCACACCCACTAGCTTGCAGGCCTGCAGGTACACTTCAGCTACAGATGCCTCCTTATTGCTCTCCTCTTTTTCTGGAAACAAATAGCCCCATACAGTATGAATATATGGGCTCTTGCTTATACCTATTGTAGTGAGCTATATTTTATGGCAACTCTTGACACAAGCCATTTAATTGCATTGTTTTGTTTTTACATCACTATAATGAATTTACAGTATATATGTGCTGTATGTTATATATGATTTTACAGATTTACACTAAGAACAGTATTTAGCCAAGAATTCCAAAAATTAATGCAAGACTTAATTTAACATACTTACCATCCGAATCCAAGTCTGTGTCAAACTCGTCCTCCTCGCCCTGTGGTTGAGTTGGGGATAGACAATCATCATCTTTTAAGCAAAGGGACTCAAAAGATAGTGTCGACATTGCAGTCTGCAGGTAGAGCTTATGTCCTATTTGAAACCATTTCCTAGACAAAAAAGGAACAGTCTTTTGGTTATTTGCCCATTTATCCCTGGTTGTTCTGTATGGGCCTGTGCTGTGAAATGAAATAGGCCTGTCCTGTCTAGCAGGTAATTCTACCCCTAAGGTAATGTGTCATGTGTAGTGACATTAAAAATGTATGCCTTAGTGTGGTTACAATCCTGTGTTTTTAGTAACTCCAAGCAAAACATACTGTAAGAACAGCATGGCACACAGTATGTGAAATGATTTTGAGTAAAATAGTGTTTCATTGGATGATGTGCATTTTCATATCATCTCATTTTATAGAATGTCGGATTTTTTTAATACATTACTACAAACTCAAAACAACAAACACCTCCATGAGGAAACCACACCAGTGACATTTGACTTGTGCCCCCGAACCTCACTTCCACCAACAACCCGACGACGCGCATGCGCTGATGTTAGCTGAGAAACATGATTGGCAGCCTGTTATTTTATGCGCTCTACCCATTGTCACGGTACTTTACCGGTCGACGCTCAGGTAAATTTTAAAGCACACTTGCAAAGGTATCCGTGTTTCAAAGTGTCATGTAATTAGTGTCAGCTGTGTGCGTTTCCCCTGAGTAGCTATTACGAGCTAATGGTTGCTAACGTTAGGTTTAGTTCGTTGCTAACTTTGTCTTGTTATTTGTTGGCGGTTTCACTTTCTATATCAGCCTTGGTGTGACCAGTGTGTGGTAATGCTAACAATTTCTCCTTTATGTTAACGAAAACAGAGCGTGTCTTGTTATTGCAGCTTAGCTAACTTTAGCTCATAGCAACGTGTGTTTGTTTGCACCTGTTCCTGAGCTTTTGACGCCCCCGTGACGTCAGAATATCACGTTGTTGGCGTAGTTTATGTTTTGACAAAGAAAAAAAGCTCAGTAAGTTTTAGTTTAACATGAATGCATCACTGCTTCCTTGGACTAATCTTGTTTTACAGAGGCCTCAAAGAAGGGTCTCCCTCTTGCAGTGGTTAATGGCAGGTCAGTGTGGGATGGTGGTGCTGTCACAACCAGGACTTTCATCCAGTCTCGGACAACCCTGCTGGACCAGTGGCTCAGCCAAAGCAGATGGACCAAGGGAGAAACGAAAGAAAGGATGAAAGAGCAAAGCCCAGAAAAAGAGGTGGATGCAAGAATTGACACAGACAAAGAACAGCTGGTGGCTGTCCTGCGTGAAGAAACAGAGAATGAGACTGTAAAGATGAGTGAGATGCAGCACAACACAGTGGAAGTTCCCAAGCAAGAAGATGTCTCTGTGCTGCATAGGAAACAAAACACTGAGGGTGTCAGTCCAGAGCAAGCACTTGAGGCACAGTTAAAGTGCCTGCAAACAGATGAAAGCATACAAGAAACTGCTTGTCCAGTACAGGAACAAATACAGATACACACCATGGAAGAGTCAGTAACTCCAGCTGAGGGCAGCACACAAGGCACTATCTGTTCACCAGAGGTACAAATACAGATGCGTAGCTTGGAGGAGTTAGTAAGTCTAGCTGAGGACACCACACAAGACACTATCTGTTCAGCAGAGGTACAAAAACAGATACATAGCTTGGAGGAGTTAGTAACTCCAGCTGAGGACAGCACACAAGAAACTACCTGTTCAGCTGAGGCACAAATACAAAGCTTGAGAAAGTCAGTAACTCCAGCCGAAGACAGCATACAAGAAACTACCTGTCTAGTACAGAGACAAATACAGATACCAAGTGTGGAAGAATCTGTCACTCCATCTGTAACTGTTGATAAAATAACTGAGTGCTGGGATGAATACCTAGCTCCCTCTGCTCATGAAAGGCACGGTGGGGAAAACAGTTCTAAGCTGGTATTTACCTCTCTTCTCTCTAACAATCAAACCCACCTTAAATTCACTGGGCAACATGATACACAAACTGGCTGGCACTTCCCTGCAGGACCTGGTTTGGCAGAAGAAGTGCAATGCCCACTGTGGCAATTTCCCAGTGTGAGCTATTACCCTCCAACAGAGCCAACAGTGCCCTTTGAAGGTGAGAGTTAAACTTTTTTCCCTCAATTGTAATATTTCCACTGTAGTGGGCTTTGTCAATGCTTGTGAGTAGTTTAACATCAAGCTGTTGCTTGCACAGACTTGTATGTATGTGCTTGTCTTCCACCCAGTGATGTGGAGAGTATGGGAGGAGGTAGATGAGAGTGCCGCTACAGCAGAGCCTGCCCTGGTACCCTTCCCATTCACAAAGATGTACTTCACTGTCATGTCCTACAACATCCTTGCTCAAGATTTGCTGGAGGCCAACCAGGAGCTTTACATACACTGTCCTCTGGATGTGCTGGACTGGAGCTACCGCTGCAACCAACTCTTAGAGGAAATACTGAAATGGACACCAGATGTGAGTTTAATACAACTTCTTTTTCGGAAATTTATTCTAGCTCCATTTTAGTTACATTTTTACACTAGGCGTCCACTGATGATTGGTGTGTGTCCTCTTGTGTGTAGATTCTGTGTCTCCAAGAGGTTCAGGAGAACCACTACCATGAACAGCTGTATCCAGTCCTGTCTCAGATGGGTAGGTCATCTGAGACAAAACTGTGGAATAATAATGATGGGGGATGTTGTGACGAAGACATTACATATTTTGTCGTCATGTTGTTGCTCCAGGCTACACCTGTGTGTACAAGAGGCGTACAGGGACCAAGACAGACGGCTGTGCTACTTGCTATCGAAACAGTTGCTTCGCTGAAGTATCGGTAACTCCACTGGAGTACTTCAGGCCGGAGACAGATCTCCTGGACCGACACAATGTGGGCATAGTTTTGTTGCTTCGGCCAGTGGTCACCCAGGGATCCGAAGCCAAGGTGAAGGGCCCACTCCTCTGCGTGGCCAACACCCACCTGCTCTTCAACCCTAGGAGGGGAGACGTGAAGCTGGCTCAGTTAGCCATAATGCTGGCAGAGATCGACAGCATGGTCAAGTCCTGTAAGGCCAAAGGCGAACACTGTAATGTTGTATTGTGTGGAGACTTTAACTCTGTCCCACACATGCCTCTGTATCAGCTGATCACCACCGGCGAGCTCTACTACCAGGGACTACCAGCGTGGATGGTGAGACTGCTCCTACATCACTTCCTGTGGACTTCTTTAGCTATATTAAGCTCTTTATTTTAAATTTTCTGTCATGGTGCTTGCAGCAGTTACCTCTGTAACCACGCATGTATTCACCATGTCCTACAGATATCGGGTCAAGAGGACCTGTCCTACAAAACCCATTGTTACAGGCTGTTTGCTCCCCTGTGGCCCAGCTGTCTGGCAATCACTGACAGCTGCCAGTACACAACTGTCAACAACATGTTTGAGAGTCAGAGTCAGAAATCAGGTCAGTGTTTGAAGTGATTTGTACACAGTTACTTAAGTAATCTTGACTCAAGGAGTGGATACCAGTCCTTTAAATTTTATTTCCCCCCTCAATCAACTTAATATCTAACATTTGTTCCTCGTGTATAGGCAAATGTCAGTACACGCATGACTTTATGCTACAGCTGCGCTATTGTCCAGCTGCATGTGTCCGTCCGGTGGACCTGAACCTGATCCCAGGCGTGACTGACAACACACCAGGTACACACCAGCAACATATTCTTATACTAGTTCTGCCATTAAAAAAAACTGATTTCCTTACTGTATTGTGTTAATATATGTGTCTTCTTCTTGTGCACAGATGCTTCAAGGGGGAATCAGCCTTATGAGAAAAGGTCAGTTTCCCTGCAGTTTTTTGTCATAATGTAGTTTGAAGGATCAACTGTTACTGCTTCTTACTGCTTTTATACCATGTGATATTAGTCATAAATTTTGTGTCACAGGTTCAGACACACTATCAGTCATCACTTAGACCTGGAGTCGGTCTATAAACATGTTCTCCCAGGCTCTGGCAGCTCAGAAGTCACAACCCTGCACTCTGAAGTAGGAGCCACTGTTGACTACATCTTCTACTCCCCAAGACGCACCTTAACCTCTGCTCAAAAAGGTACGGGGGCGTGTCATGAAGCAGTTCGATATGAATAATCTGCTACATTAAATAACTTGTGTGTTGTTTTTCCTTTAATTTTCCTTAGATGGTGGTGACTTTCTGAGTGAAGGTCTGAAGTTGATTGGTAGTCTCTCCCTCCTATCAGAAGATGTCATATGGTCAATGAAAGGCCTTCCCAATCACATATTCCCCTCTGACCATCTCAGTCTTATGGCCAAATTCCAACTGGACCTGAATGCTGCATGATAGGAAACACTGTGGGTGAAGTGAAATTATAAGCATATTTCTGTTCAAATGATTCAGGTCTTGCTCTGCACACATTTGGTTTTTGTTTTTATTATTAAGAATGCCATTACTTGTGGTTCAACACTGGCAACAGAGGGTCATAGTTTTCTAACTGAATTGAAGTCAGTATTTTTGTTCAAAAGGGCCAGGAAAAAATAATGAATGCTAACATTCAGTCTCACATGGTTTTCATCAGATAAATGATGAGCCATGAGTGAGATATGAAAAATCTTATTAGTGGTGATGTAAAAGTTCATTTAAAAAATGAAGGTAGTGATTGCTTTCTTTTTGGTGTGATAATGCACTGACCTGTTCATTTTATTGATAACTGCTGTCATATTTTAATTTATTTTACACCTAATTTTGAAATGAGAATGAAACTTCTCCAATTATGAGTCAGTTCTATTTTTTCAGATTGTTAGAAATATTGAATAAATATTTTCCATTAATTTTTGCCAGCTTCATTATTTTTCATCTTTAACACATTACAGACATTACATGAATGCCTCCAGGCTTGAAATAAGAATTTATAGTTCCTTTCTGGATTTATGATGTAGCAACGTTAAATGTATCCACTCACATTAAATCTTCCAGTTGGTGCTGGCCTCCCTGTGTATCCTGTGCTTAGATTGTGACATGAATGTCGGCTCTGCCCCTCCTGTCCCACAACACCGAGGACGTCAGTTTGTTGGGTGAAGATGTCTGTGTACTTGTGGGTGTGTGTGTGTGTGTGTGTGTCTGTCTGGTTGATGCATGACTGAATAATTTATGTAGATAGTTGAGTGCTCATGCATGACGGGGCTCAGTGAGGGAGCTTTGTGTTATGTGTGGGCTATAGAACGTCTGTGAAGTAGTTTCCCATCAGTAGGATGTCTTTCACTTGTTTTTCACTCATTCTCGTCAGTGCTGTATGTAAAATATATTTGCCATATAATACAATCACCCATTAGTTGAACCCTTTAATGTGCAGTAGAATAGTATTCTGTGTCTTAATTTCCCCCCATGGCATCAAATGCATGTAAGTAAATAAAATAGGTCAGTAGGTTTTCTTTCCAAATAGGTCATAATGCCTTCTGTTTCTATATCTTACGAACACTGATGGACAAAGTGTTTGACATCTGGAATCCACAGAAGGGAGGATAGGGATCTGTTTATCTTTCTCATGACTTCTGTCTCCATAATTCACCAAGAACTTCAGGACAGACTTTCCCAACATTAACAAACCCTCATTCTAAAGAGCTCACTTACAAAAATGTTGCCACTCTCTCATGTGCTTTTACAGTAGTACATTGTAACATGAGAGTGTTTTACCTTACATGCAGACATAGCCATCTCAGAGCTACGTTTCTGGCCTATGCATCAAAGTGGTTCCTCGCTGACTGGTTTTCACTGAATGCAGCAGCCATTAAACCTTATTAGCTGATTGCTGTGCTGCAGGCAGGGTCGACTTGGGGATCCATTAAACAGCAGGATCCCTGATCATGAGAGCAAAGCACATGCTGCAAGCATCCTACCATAAATATTTTTAGATATTCAGCAAACATTGGCAACACCAAGACAGTGTGAAGCATGGAATAATAATGTTTCACAATAACTATCTCACTTTTGTCAGCGTAGGTTTTCTATTTGAAACTAGCTTGAACAATATTCTGAGATCTAAATCATGTTGAAAGTGTCCCACTTATTCTGACTGAGTGTTTAAATTCACTGAAGCCTATGCCTCCCTTTTTTAGACTTGTTGGCGTTGAGTTTCCTTTGTGTAAACCTAACAAGGGTAGTGTTTGGAGAACTCTTCAGTCGGCTCTCGTCATCATCTGCCTTGGTGCCAAAGGTTGACAGAAAACTGGCGCCCACTCCCTGCCTTCATTTGTGGATTTATTGGGACATACGCTGTTTAAAAAAGGGCAAGGTAATTAAAAACATAACTAATTTAAAGAAAAAAACAATCACAAGTTGTGTTGCCACAATCCTGGTGACAATTTTATTGTGGTCCTGTAAATGAAAAGTCATTTGGTACAAAACAATTGTGTAATAGAATATTGAAATGAAAATGGACAACACCTACTGTACAGATAAAAATGTTGGCTGTGGCAACATATTCAGAACAGTGTGTGGTAAATATTAAGTGGTCTACTGGTGATCACCAACACTGAGGGAAGTATAAAATGACAATTAAAAAAAATTACAAAATGCAGATAAAAGTGCTGTAAACAAACTTCTTTACACTTTACACTTAAATGGAAGTCAGTTGCTTGGATACCACTTAAGGCAAGTGAAATATTGGATAAAGTTGCTACAAATAAAAGTTAGAAATTGTATATATAAAGCAGTTATACAGTACATATGACTTCTTAGTAATTTACATCTACATTAAATGCAGATAAAGTCAGCTGCGTTGTCGTGAGTCACCTTGACAAATGTCTTGATTCACTGAAAGATTTTATATTCAGTAACACACTGACCCATATTTTCACTCAACAGATGCCTTCTTACACTTAGATACACTTAGGCATATAATGTATTCAATCCCATATTCAGTCAACATCTCTGTAAGGTAGATAGCATGCTAAATATGCTAGCCTCTGGGTATTAACTCAGTCAGTTTATTTCAAGGTAATTTAGAAGAGCAGAGGTGACACTGCTTTGTGTTTAGTGAGGCAATGACAATAATGGATTGGATATAAAAGTGTTTTTCTTCTCTTTGAGTTGTCATACAAGGCACGAGGGTAGTGGTTTACAAACTAAGTCACTACACAAGCATTTGCTGCCCAGCAGAGCCTAAGTGGATTTAAAATTACATTAAATGTATTTGCACACTTACATGTACAGTACGACGATACAGATTGCACACAAGCCTTAAGAGCTTTTGTTGAACATAGCAACACCACAAAAAACCTATGATATGTCCAGTAGCACATTTACACTGAGTGGTAGTCTTGCCTAGCTTCAGGGAACCCTCATATTTAACATTGTGTACAGTCCTCAAAACTCTGCAGTTGTTTAAAAATGTTCACAATTGACTGCACATTTGACCCTTTCTTATAATTTGGGAGCGTTGCCAGCACCAATTACTGAGCACAGTAACTACTCCTGAAAAAGCCTCTATCAACACTGACATAAGGAAGCTGAATGAGGCATTTGTTTTTTTTTTGGGAGGAAAAGTTGCTGGTGACCTATTCGAAACTACATCCTGTGAATAGGCCAATGTGTACAAAGAATTAAGCCTTAGAGTAAGTCAGTGGCCCCATGAAACCAGTGTGTGGTACCTTCAAATTTCACAAGCAAACTAAACTTCTTCCTCAGACTCGAATCTGGTATCCGTTCATGTCTGCAGACGATTTTTGCTCCAAGACCTTCTTCTCCCCTGAGGGACTGCAACAACAAAAACACAAATCAGAAACAGGACAAAGAGTTTTATTCACATAAGAAGGAAACTGTGACTAATTCAGAAAACACTCCTTTAGCTCATGAGACATCTGTGGTCCAAATCTTTTCCAGTGACTATAAAGATTACACATCAATGGTTATGGTGCCTGTATTTTTAGTGAAGACCTAAATTATCCAGAGCACATGATTAGTCATACCGTCTCTCAACACGGCTGATCCTGCGTATGGGGCTGCCTGGTCCTCTGAGGGGGGAACCCATGCTGTTTCTCCTGTCTTTGGTTGGAGAGGGAGGTACAGGCTTTCCTATCTGAAAAAACAGTTCACACAAAACTTCAATCACTTTAAAACATCACATGGGTGAGTTACACTATGCTTATGTCCTCATGGTACTGAGTGTCGGTCTTTAATGTGATTGTGCAGAGCACTCAGTGTAAAAGATCAGCTATTGATGGATTGAGCCAGCCATGCATGAGGCACGGCAGAGCAGAGTCAAGCCATCACATTAGTTTTATTATACACAGAGCTCAGCATCAAGGCAGCCTTCATTATGTTAGCATTAGAGGTGATGAGAGGGAGCATTGTTTGAGAGAAACCGCTCCTCAAACAGCAGGTTGACACTCAGTGTCACCGTGCGTGGACACAGCATGTCAAAGGAAACCTGATAAGGAGGAAGGGCAGTCCATCTGCTGCGGACAAATTATATTTCTCATCATTGCTTTTAGTCCTGCAAGGGCTCCATCAAATTGCACTAGTGTCCGCTGGAAAGTGAGAGTTCAGATAGAAGCATAAAGCAAAAGCTAAACATGCAAAAACATCTGCTTAATGTGTTCCCACATTTGCTATCTGCTTCTGCACTGCCATTCACCACGAAAACTCTTTTCATTACTGCACTGTACCTTCAGCCTCATGTCTCGAGTGTGTCTCTCCAGCTCCTTCCGCAGCTCCTCCTTGGTCAGCTTGTCTACATCCAGTATTGAGTGTTTCCACTCTATCTGCTCCACGCTGTGAGGGTCATGGGACACATACTGGCCGATCTTGACCTTGTGGAGGGTGTGCCAGTAGCCCCTGTAGGCTCCGTCATATTCCTGCACCAAGTCCATCAGTGTGCGGAACTCCAGGGGCTTGAACATGAGGTCCTCCCTCCGGCTCATGCCAAGAGCGCCGAAACGTCCCCCACTGTGAACTCCCAGCACAATGTGGTGGAAGTGGTTCCCTGAGAACTGAGACTTAAAGCTGAGGGGGAAGCGCTCCACACCCGGCATGTTGTTGGTGAGGTAACTGTATGAAGGTGGGGTCAAGGAAATGGATGGTTGAATGTCATAAAATGGCAAAAAAAATCCTGTCCAATCAATGCAGATTTGGCTCCTTGTTTTCAAGTGTTGTTAGCCTACTGCTTCCATAACATGTGGAGAATCCAAAGACATCTAGACACTTTGTTGAGCAATATTTGGAAAGCTGTCAGCCTCAGCAGTCATACTAATGAAACACACCATAACACAATTTGAAGACATAGCATCTAAATTGTCATGCAACATCATCTGTTGCTGTAAAGATACATCCCCAAGATCACCGCCTCCAGACATTTGATTGGCAGAGCCTCCCGCGTCATCTCCTTAGCGATGTCCATCAGCCTGTGCAGAAATATTGAACAAGAACATGTAATTCTGTGGTATAAGACACTAGTACACTGATGACTTGCAGTACAAATGACAGGAATGCACTGTTATTGATTTCATGCAGTCAAACAAAAACATTTTCCATGAGCCACAGAAATGAAATCTGTGCTACTTAATCTAATAAAGTGAGGTCAGGACAAGTGTGTTCCAGGCCACTGCTGATTGACATCAGCTTTGACTCACAAAGCCCTGGGATAAACCAGAGATACAGCTGATCTACATGCGTCAGCCATCAGCAACACAGGCTAAACCATAAGAAATCAACAAACAGTGCTGCTGACATCCCGTGACTGCTGCCACGAAGCTCTGTGAGTCTAACACTGATGATCATCAGCCTTGGGTTAAAAAGAAAGTTGGCTTACGCAGTAAGAGGACGACTCTTCTTGATTTCAAAAAACTGTGTTCCTGTGTGATTGTACCTGTGGGCCTCAGTTAAGATCATACTATAACAGAGCAACATCAGGCTGCTTTCAGTGAGGGGAAGAAACGACCTCTTTAACAGCTTTGTGTAATTCATAGGTTGTTGGTTAATTATGGATGAAAAGTCTGCTCTGACTGGAAATCAAGCTTTTGCTTAATATAGAATATAATACTACAGTGACCTACTTTCTCATGTATGGTCCATATCTATCAAAGTGTGCTAAAACAGTGGGTCAGTGGGATTAATAAACGGTTGTCTGTAAGTATTACACTTCTTATTTCACTCTTATATCCATTTGAGTAAGATCAGTGTGTAAAACGTATCTGTCTAACAATAAATGACAAATTAAGAAAAAACATTTAAATGCACTCAATAATCATTATTATGTTGTAACCAGCAAAAGGATACTGCAATTCCCTGATGTATTTCTGTATGGCTTCCAAGCGCTGTGGGATAGTGGTGGTAGGTTGGTATGTAGGCACACTCGGTACTGGAATCTGTGGGACAGAGGAGCCAAACAACTGCATTGCCATTGTACAATCCCAATATTCACTGCAGCTGGAGAATGTAGTATTGTTTGACCTCGATGCTCTTCTCTATTCAGTGTAACTAATGGTGGAAGTATCTTAATTGTTCTTTAACCAGTCTCATGAGAAATGACTACAAGGTCTTACACATCCATACAAACACAAAAGGTACTGTGCAGGGCAAATTGGAAAAACCGTGTGATGTATTTTATGACTATAATTACACTGGAAAAAATTTATCAGCAAAAATAATTATTTATAGTGTATTTAGAGGCACATGACTGTCTGTATTCCTGTCACTCATGTGGAACTGCATAGCAACACTGTAACTCAATATTTTCCCATAACACATGGGTGTAAACTGTTCCACATGGGTATCAGCTGCAACTTCACATATTCAACACTTTACCTTGGGCAGGTCAGTGGCACCCCGGATCTCCTTCCACAAAGCTTCACCGTTGGGGTGGATTCGAGCCACATGGCGCCACATCCTCTCCCAAGTCTCCTCATCCACCGGGAGTCCTCCTCTGTTCACATAGAAAGGCACCCCTCCATCCCTCAACTCTTCTTCACCTTCATCCTCCTGCTCCTCATCTCTCTCCTCCACTGAGCCCACGGTGGCCCTCAGCATCCCTCCTCCACCGGGAAGCCAACAGAGTCCTGGCACACAAATGTCCTGACTGATGCCTTGGACCCTTTCACTGGTTAATCTGCTAGCAAGTAGGTTCCCACAACAGATGGCCAACTCATGACATCCAGCAGCTTTGTGCCTACTAGTGTCTCTCAGAGTCAATGCAGTGCTGTCTTCAATGTAAAGGTGATCTGCTGTATATAAAACTCACCTCTGAAGATGAAGCAGGTGAATATGAAGCAATGATTTAATAAGTGGGTTACAAAAAATTCCTCTTATTTAGAATAAACAATGACTTTGCAGTAACTATTCAGCACTTTGGTAAAAATCTATCAGCCTGTAGGCCATCCAAAATTCAGCTATTGATATAAATGTATAGATTAAGACACTTAGCCTTTAGAAGTGCAGCTTGTTATAATGATCACCAAGCAAACACAAGCCCGCCAATGTAACGCTATCACTGCCTATAAGAGGATTGACTCTGCAGACAACAAAGTACTGGAAATGACTAATTCCCTGTACCGTTAGAGGTCATTCACACCACAGATATCCAGCAAATCACTGCTCTAGTACAATCCCAACACGACGGTCCTTCTACGTCCACTGCAAGTCCGCTTCACCACATTATCTCCTTCCAAGTCAACCGGTTCATTGTTCATGCAGATGCTCTTCTTGGCTTCAGTGACTGCGGGTTGGATTCACGTCCAACGAGCCGCTCAGACACTCCCAGACCTCCGCGTACTGCGCATGCTCTATACTTAGCAACGCATGATCTCAGCCGTGACAAATGCTGCATTCAGGTGCTGCTCGCGAGGTGTCAAACTGAGATCCGCTTTATATCTACATAATAAAATCCCATATTCAACGTTATTAACAGCACCTAAATGCACCATTTTTTTGGGGTGGTGGGGCGCTTGTACTGTACTGTACTGTACTAATTCAGTCGTGTAGCGTCTCCTACTGTGGCGGAAGGCTGAATGAAATACATTCAAATGAAAACTTTAGCTATTGAAAAGAGACAATGTTGTTTATTTATATTGGATGCCAAAGAATGAAAAAAAACATTGTTTTTAACATCAGTTTAAATTCCAACATGGTAATGTCACATTCCACTTAACTAATGATTAATCTGTCAAGCTATACTAGTGTTATATTTACATTGAGTTCTTCCATATTTTCTATTATACATTTCAATGGGCTAAACTGTAGGGAAAAAAACAAGCAATAAAACACATTTCCATTGTAGTTACAGTCAAACTTCAAATAGGATAAAGGGAAACAACAGTGTAAAATATGAACTCAAAATTCTTTATCTATCTCATAATAAATTAGTATCTCTGCTCATATAGAAAACATATTTTGAGTGTTGGAAAAAAAAAACTGAAGACTGAGGAGAACATGCACTGCAACAGTTCATTTATTCTTGAAACAAAATATTTTATAAGAAAAACAACACTTTAAGTAGTTTTCAGTTCCATCAAACACACCCCATCCCATCCTCACCAAATCAAACTTCAAAACATAACATTTTCAATATGCATAAAAGGAAAATAATATTAAACAGGAAACTTCAGTCCATTTACAGGTGCAGCTCAGCTGTAAAAATATTAAAATCTTGGAGCACCATAGTCATCAGGCATCCGTTCAATATTATACCTGTATTTAAAAATAGAGGGAAAAAAAGTGTGTTTTAATGAAGCTGGTACTGACTCCAGAACAAAGTTTTGCATTTTGCACAAAAAAAAAGCACACAAACAAAAAGGTGATATAATATTCGTGGTATACCTGTGGTTTGAGATGTACATGATGGGTACGCCAGGGATCTTCCTGACTCTTCTCTTAAGATCTCTGTCCACAGTTGCCAGGATGTAACACTTGTGCTGTAGAAATATTTTTATGCGAGTTATAGCTGCCCTTCAGTACCAAAACTACACAGTGTGACATAACATATGTAATGTGACTACGCCACCAGCAGCTGGTTTCAGATGGGTGTTCTGTCACTAGTAGCAAGCACCACTGGCACACTTCCATGGCAGTTTAACTGACATTATCAAATCCAGTCTTTTGTCAAATGTGTGCACACTAATCAGGTCACTGGTTTGATTCCAAGCTCAAAGTGTCCTTATGCAAGTGTCCTTGGGCAGGATAATGATACCCTAATGTATCATTGGTGTGTCTGACGTCACTAATACAACATCCTAAATGACTGTTTAACTGCTGGGATAAGTGTCAGTAGGTTCTGCTGCTGTTATTTTGCACAACAAACATACATGCTCTTACTCATATTGTGGAGCTCATCATTCAGTGAATACTGACATTCCATGACATGTATGTATGTATGACTAAAACTGTACATTAAAGTATATTACCTGTGTTACCCGTTGGACTAAACAGTCATCGGCATATGTTCCCTTGTGTGTGCACGGCAGGCGCTCAAACCTTGGATCTTTGGCTATCCTGCAATAACAAAAACAAGCAAAAAATGTAATGATAAAAATAATTTATGAATGAATTCAATAGGTTCATCTGCCCAGTGCCATTTTATACCACACATCTTTGTACCTGAGCGCAACTCTGTACTTCATTCCAAGCTTCTCAATCTCAGCCATCACACAGTCTGTGATATATGGGATACCTGGATAGGATGAGATTTCAGAAAAAAAATGAATGACCATTTTAGAACTATTTTTGCTGAATCATTATAATATATGATTAATATTGTAAAAAAAAAAAAAAAAAAAAAAAAAGATGCTCATCCTCATATTAATTCCCCCTGGACAACAGTACTTACATTTGGCATACAGACAATCCATCATAGATTGAACAATGTCCAGTTTGGCCTTGATAGAGAAGTTGATGAAATTGGTGTCGACAAGAATGTGGTATGGTGGACCGAGCTGAGTGTTGTACTGGAAGAACAGGCATGATGGGTACTTTGTCCTGCATACAGAGTTAAAAGAAGTCAAATTAAGAGCCATCAACCAGAAGTTATCATCCAATTCAAGCTTTTGTGTGACCGACTTACACTTCTCTCTCCTTAAGCTCCGAGGGGTCTTTCTTCTTTTTCTCTTTTGCTTTAGCTCGGTCTTTCTCTTTTCTACAAAACAAACAAGAACTTATAAGGCTTGAATACATCTTCCACATTTCACCAGCAATTGCATGTTCTGCTGGATTAATAAACTTCATAGTGATGGAGGAGCTGGTTAAACCAGGGGTGATTTGGGTTGACAACAGAGAATAATTATTAAAACAAACCAAAACTCACATTCTATGATCTTTCAGATTAATCATTCTCTTCATTGCAGCAAACTTCTTTGTTTTCTGCTTTGCCTACATTGAAAAAAAAATGTTTAGAACATAAATCACAAACAACAGTTTATACTATATTGTTTGAAAGTTGGAGAAGAAATGATTGTAACTGTGTTAGTGGACGGTTAGAGGGAGAGTCCACCTATCAATACAATGCTGGCACGGGGTCTTTATTGAATATCAACGACTGTCCCACAGCTGAACATACAGGAAAACAAAGGTTGACTATAATATGATCGAGTGAAGCCGTTCAACTGAAACGATATTGACATTTACTGAAACAAACACTGAACTCGTTAGTTACACAGCAAGAGGTTAAATCAAAACTCAGGCTATATTCACGATCGCAGCCTTTTGGAAACCAACTGCCAATTGTGTTTATGATTATGTTCAGACCAAGCTCCTTAGACTGATATAAACTATATATTTAGATGAATAGTCATCGTAGGTAGCGCTGTATGTGTAGGTATAGCTTACTTAACGTTAGGCTAGGCTAGGTAACTTAGCTCAGTGGCTTCCCTGGAAAAAAAAATTCAATGCCTTATTAATATACTAAATGTCATATTTTAAGAGACACCAGCTATCAAGACAGCCGTGGAGTAGATGTCATACAGTTTTAGATTACTTACCATGCTTTAAATTTGAGAAACAGATCTCAGTAGCTGAGTGAAACTTGCTCCCCTTCCCCTCGTGTATCGATGCAATTTCTGGTGACGTAATCAAAAATCGACACCTTTTCTGCGCATTTTCCGGACTGCGAAGCTAATGTCTAACGGACGAAGGTAGATGCTGTTTTTAAAAGCAAAAATGAAGGACATTTTTGCATTTACAGTTTTGCTTTGTGTAGCTGTGCTATTGCAAGCGGATTCTTGTGAAGGTCTTGTGATGTGCATCTTGATAACCGCCACGGGTTGGAAACGAGCTTTCTGAAATTACGCTGACATTGTTGGCTAACTTGGCTAGCCGCTAGCATCGTTCGCCAGTCAACTAAGGCTGCTGTAGCCGTTTGTCATGCTAACGATGCTAAAATATGTTAGCATTAGCTGCTAGCTTTACCTAGCGCCCCAGGTGTCAATAGACAGGCGAGAATTGATGATATTGCATTTTTGAAACGCCATTCAAGGCACTGTCCAGTGAACTTTACCGAAGCTGTTTGAAGAGGCGATGTAGCTTTCTGTTTGTTAATGACAGTGGCAGCGGATGACATTTGGAAACGTTTTGACACCTGAGCTAGCACGTCTAGACAGCTCCTCATCCTCAGAGCCATCACCATCATCTGGACTTGTCGGTGGATGGGATTTAGAGTGTAGTAACTCTTAAATTGACCTGGTTTCTTTGATAGTTAAACAGAGGCTGGTGAGAGTTTTGTGACTATTGTTTAGCCAAGTTGCTCATGCATATTTCAGTGCTGTGGAGTAATGTTTTTCTCCCATCAGCCAACACTTCTCCAGGGTGACACTTAAATATTTATGCTTTCTTGGCAGAGCAGTTTACAGTTGAAGCTACTAGGCTCAATCATTTCTCATGTTTGACTAGTGCCCCTCGTTAGAATCCATCTCTTGAAAGCCAAAGTTTTTTGTTGTGTATTTTTTTTGGTCTAGCAGTTTTGAACCTAAGCAGTTTTGTCTTCTATTATTGTAGGAAACTTGACTAGCTTCCTGTTACATGACACTTTTCCTTTGAGCACGAAGAGGTCTGAGTGAAGGCTGAAAGATGGTCTGATGGACCGCCGCTTCTTCCTGACCTTCCTCTTCTGCTCAGTGTCGTGGATATTCTTCTGGGAGGTACGCTGGAAGAAAGGAAAAGAGAGTCAGATTCAGGAATGGCTCCAAGGACATAGCCTCTCTCAATACAGGCACTTATTTGAAGGTCAGTGGGTTACAATTGTTTCATATTACATTACCAATACAGCACAGAAGTTTGGTTGATGGTTTTATCCAGGGTGAAGTAAGCAGATGTAGCTTCTGTAATATACACAAGGAAACTTCTGCATGACAGCTTATGTTGGATGAAAATTAAACAGTTTCTTGGAGAGAATACTTTCTCCAGCACCCATCCTAGTTTCTGCAGAAATATCAGAGATAATGTCATGTTTAAATTAATTTGAGCTATGTTTAATGTAGTGAGAATGTATTGCTTATTGCTTTGACCCTGGTCAATTTTTTGGTTTTGAAACACAAAAGTTCAGGCTTATGAGATGCAACTGGCATGTATGCACAATCAGCACAGACTTAGATACTCATTGTAATAGACTTTAATTAGTATTTAAGCTTGTGCTATGGCATTAGTTATGCTGATTTTCTGGTCAGTATTTGCATGGGGATTTTTATTTGCTGTTCATGTGTCATCCAGATGTACAGACACTGGAGGAACTGAGTCTGAGTGTACTGAGTCGCCTGGAAGAGGTGGTGAAGGAACAGCAGCGCTGGAGGGAAATTGCAGAGGCCCACATCCAGCTGCTGCGAGACTTTGCCTTCCAGGAGTGGCTTTGCTCTCAGAACCTGGAGCACTATTACCATACGTAAGCAATGAAAGGTCTTAACTTCAGCATTTACACCAATCAGGCAAACAGTCGTGAGCAGCCGTCCTTTTTCAGAAACAATTACTTGTTGGCATGTCATAAATGTAGATTGTCCCTGGCATGTTTTTTAATGTCTTGAATTGGTTAGGTGGTTATGGTCATGTTTTATGCTGGTTAACAAAGACTCTGTTTATTTATATCCACTTGAGGGCTGCCGCTTCAATCATGGTTAGCCGAGTTTGCTGACACTGAGCTGTGGAGGCTGCAGTGTTTCAGAGGGTCACTGCAGTAAAAAGTATTCTTTAGAGGCTGTTACTGTGAGACCCTGCAGCAATGCAGATGTTTGTGTGTGTGTGTGTGTGTGTGTGTGTGTGTGTGTGTGTGTGTGTGTGTGTGTGTGTGTGTGTGTGTGTTTTGTTTGGATGCTCTCTATTGATGCAGTCAGAACCTGCTATGATAGGTAGTTACTACTTTATCATAACACTGTCTGTTTGTCCTGCCTATGTTTGAGAAAAGTGCGTTTTAATGTTTGTAGAGGTCAGTATTGTTTCTCAAAAACACATAGTATCATGTTTTTAAAGAAAATTGTACGACATTTCTAAAGGGACACAATGTCACATTTGTGAAGGTCATGACTGTCACACTGTCGCCGTCTGCATTGCCGATTTTGATTCACTGGACATAAAATTACTCACATAATTATTGCTGAGTTTCAGTTCACTAACTGTGTAGTAACCAAAGATGATCTTTGCATTCATTTGCTTGCTAAAAATAAACTGTAAATGGGGAAGATTAAGCTGCAGACTCACATAAGCCTCTCATTGCTTCTCAGAAAAGTAGTGTTAGTAAGAGTTGGATGTTGGAAAGATGCAATTGTATAGTTAAATTAGAAATGAAAAGAGGATGATGGTTTTGTTTGGATTACTATCATTATCATAATAATTGACCTCAAACACACGGTAGATAATCAGCCCCATTACACATGTAAACCGGACACAGCAACGCACTTGTTAATTCATATTTTAAAATATCTATTTTTAGTGTGTATTTTTCTATTATTTCAGATTTTATTTTATAGAGTTATATATTATTTTCTACCATCATTTTGGCCATGATGACCAAACTATGAACGGTTATAGCACAAGCACATCCCTAGTTTAAACAAAGACACAATGTTGCACTAGTAGATTTACAATAGGAGATTAAGTTTTGGTTTTAATGGTTACAACCATTTCTCCACTAAGCATTTTCTCCTGTTGACCTTTCCCTGTAATGAAGCCTTGCTGCTTTAGCCTTTTAGTAAGAGCAGATGCAACATGCCGCACCATCTCACTAAAGAGTTTAGCTGAAAAGATCAAGGTTACTCTCGTGCAGAGTTTAAAAAAAAAATAGTGTTTGTTTAGTGTGTGGGATACACTGTTGTTTGGAGTTAAGTCAGCAGACTTGATCAATAGACTTTGGGTAACACTTTGTGGTGAGGCCAGAGTTGTGTTCTAAAGGCTGTACTACTGTAGGCAGTGCTACCATTCCTGTCAATTATCTACTTAATCTATTTTCACTTTTGTTTTCCACTGCAGACTGAAGACCTTGGGTTGCATGAATCTGGATGATCTGTCCCTTTTTGACAGTCAACTGCAGCTGTCTTTAGCTGCCTGGGGCTACTACTACGAAGACTACATTAAGTTGTCCACAGGCATCAAGATCCTCCAGACTTCTAGGGGGAGTCGAGACCAGGACTACGAGATCCGGCTGGTGCACAGCCTTGCTGAGAGGCGTCTGAATGAGAAGTGGTCAATTGGTGAGACTCCGATCTCCAATCATTTTCTGACTCAGACTGGTTTTAGTTTGGGGTTGCTTGCTACAGCTGAAGTGCATAGAGAGGCATTTAGATATAAGACATAAACATAAGATGGCCGGACTGTTGCCAAGTGTTTTCACAAATGTTATTACTGCAGACGTCGTAGATCGTTTGAATGTGACTCAAAAGCCTAAAGGAGAAGTTCAATGTTGCTTCATCTGTTTGTACGATTCAACAAATTGTACAGTTCAACATCTATTTGTTTTTCTGTCCTCTTCTCTCTGAACGTTGTTACATTATAGCATTCCTTATGCAGAGCCATAACCCTTGTTACACTGGTATTGTTGCCCAGGGTGTGGTATTACCTTCCACTCAAAACTGGCCACTTAAATCACGCCATTTCTTGACATTTAATGTTGCTTCATTTGGCAGAAAACCCACGTAAACTATAGTGGTCCAGTGGTTGTATAACCATGACACAACGTCTTAAAAAGAGAAGGAAGTGCAACCATCAAAATTTAACCTGCTTGCCCAGAGCAGGAAGTGTCTATTGTTTTCATTTTAATAATTCATCGGTACAATATCCATTTGTCTTTTCAGCGGGAGCGCTCATATTTGGCTGTACTGTGGCACTGTGCTTCTTGATAAGGGACCTCATGTTTTACGTGATTGGTGAGTCCAGTGTTCGCTGTTTGGGTTGGGCTGATATGGCCTGTCCTGGAATTTCTGCTACGTGGCTCACACTCTCTCTTCCCTCAGGCACATACTTCAGCTGTGACCTGGTACCACAGGTTTTACAAATGTCTTTTATTCTTTTATAGCCTGAGGACTTCTCAAAATTTGGTCCTTTGTCAAATGTTAATCGTTGCTCTGGTTAAATACTTTCTCAAATAATAAAGCATCCACTCATTTACCACCATATTTACAACCATATAAAAATAGCTTGCATTTATTGCAAACACATTCTAACTTTTAACAAATTGTCTCTTGCATTTATTCCCTTCTTGTGGCAGGTGGAATTACTGTTTCCATCATAGCGTTCGTCTTTACCATCAAGTTCCTCTGTGAGCTTGCAGCGAGGGTTGTCAGCTTCCTGCAGAATGAGGATCCAGGTCGACGCGGTGACCGCAGCATCTACGACTATGTCCGGGGCAACTACCTGGACCCACGCTCCTGCAAGGTGTCATGGGACTGGAAGGAACCGCAGGAAGTTGGGCAGACTATGAGCTTCAGAGTCCAGGTGATAATTAATTCCTAATGTGTCGAAGCTAAAGATGTTCTGCACATCTTGTTTTTAGTCTCATTGACTTTCTTACAAGTGTCTGATTCATGCAGCAGTGTCAAGAATATTTTGTTTGCAGCATTATGTTCAGAAATGTAAAATTGACTTGTGTGTCTTCTGTATTAAATCTAACTCCCTTTATATGTCTGTCTGCTCAGCTGTTCTATAAGAATGGCCAACCTTTCCCGGCCCATCGACCTGTGGGACTGAGGGTCAACATCACCCACATCGAATTGGCTCTGGACATCCCTGTTACACAGGAGGTTCTGCAAGAACCAGAGTCCAATGTAGTCAAAGTAGCCTTCACAGTGCGCAAGGCTGGACGCTATGAGGTTGCTGTCAAGCTGGGCGGCCTCAATGTAGCCTACAGCCCTTATTATAAGATATTCCAGCCAGGTATGACTACGCTATAGGTTTAAGAGCCAACCTGTATTTTGCTTTGTGTAATTTAACAATATGACAAGTTTGTATTCCTGATTGTATATTTTTCTGTTCTTTTGTTCACTCCAGGTACAGTTGTCCCATCCAAAACCAAGATAGCCTACCATTTCTCCACCCTGGTGCTAATAAATGGCCAGCAGCACACTTTGCAGATTGAACCCAGGGATGAGTATGGAAACCCCACCAGCAACTCCACATCTCTCACAGATGAAGCCAACTACAGCGTCCATGTGCACTCTGTATGGGAACAAACCCCTTTTCTATTATCCATTAAACTGTAATTTGGAGATTTATTTCTTGATTATGACTGTAAAAATGAAAGCCAGCCTTTGTTTTCAACCTTCTGTTCCCAATTGCACAGTCACTAGCTTTACAGCAGAACAGGTTCTTACAAGTAATTCCCAACATTCTGAGCTGGGATTCATTTTAGTTTTCCTGTTCTTCCAGCTGGGCACAGTGGATGATGACAGTTTGGAGGAGTACTACAGTAAGTCAGTTTCACTCAATAAACAGCAGTGCCAGGTTCTGCTGAGACTGACCCTGAGGAAAACAGGCTGTTTCAGGGCCCGCATCTCCTACAAGGACCAGCCGCTCAGCAACGGGGAATTTGACATAATTGTTCTCAGTGGTGAGCAGCCTTTCCTCATGCTGAGGAAAAAAATACACTACTATAGAATAAAGTCATCCTGGGTTTTCAAAGCCTAATACTCATACTCGCATTGCGTATTACAGAGAATGAGAAAGCCTGTGTGGAGAAGAATGTGTCCACTCCAGGCATAAGTATCTACTTTGAGGCATACCTGTACAGCAGTGGGAACTACAGCAGTTCGTCGTGGCAGTTACCAGCCTCCTCTTTGCTGGCTCCCCAGCGGAGGCCCTCTATGGGAGAAGAGGAGGATGAGCATGACTCTCCTGTGGAGGGACAACCTGAGAAGGTCAAGAAACCAAAAAAGGTCTACTGTTACATATCGCCAAAGGTAAGTGGTCAGATTTTAATGGTTGCATTTGATTGGTATGATTTTTCTTCAACTCTTGGTTTTGTCTATATAAGTAAATGAGAGACTTTATGTCCAACAGCAACTATCCGTGAAGGAGTTCTACCTGAAAATAATTCCGTGGCGCCTTTTCACCTTTCGAGTATGTCCAGGAACAAAGGTAAGCAGAGCAGATGTCAGAAAACTCTGGAGAACCGGCCTCTCTTATTTGGTTTGTACAGGCTCGCTGTAATTCCTCTGCTTTCTTCTCAGTTTACCTATTATGGTCCTGATCCGATTCACAAGTATCTAACTCTAGTGGTGGATGATGGGATACAGCCTCCTGTGGAGCTCAGCTGCAAAGACAGGAACATCATGGCTGCCACCTTCATTCGCTTCCTGCACAAGAACATTGGTTTGTTTCAGTGTGATTAATTTTGCCTCGAGCCGCACTTCACAAATACCATCTTTTGTGGAGACAGTGTAGGTCGCTGTGTAGCAGTAACATGATGGTATTATCAACAGGTGGCTCTGAAACGTTCCAAGACAAGGTGAACTTCTTTCAGCGTGAACTCAGACACATCCACTCCAAGAGACCTCGCACCAAGACCTGCCTAAAAATCACTCGACACTCCATTCTCGATTCAGTGAGTGCTTCTTTACTGTATTACGAAGCTGTTTCATAATATGTGCACAATGAAAATAGTCATGTAATCGTAACACTCTTGTGACCCCAGTGATAAATTTAACTCTCATTTATTTTTCCTTCTTGTTGCTGCTCAGTCCCTGAAGGCTACAAGGAACTTCTCAGTGTCAGACTGGAGTAAGAACTTTGAGGTTGTGTTTCAGGATGAGGAAGGTAAACAAAACATCAGCTTGTGTATTGAGAATTTTACACATTTTTGCTGTTGCAGCAACAATTTCAGACCAGTAAGGTCTTAAGATTACATCCTGATGAAAGTCACAGACACAGTAATTCATTAAGGTGACCACACTGCTAACACTTTTCACATTTTTTCGGCAGCTTTGGACTGGGGCGGGCCTCGCAGGGAGTGGTTTGAGCTGATTTGCAAGACCCTCTTTGACACTTCCAACCAGCTGTTCACGCGCTTCAGCGACAACAACCAGGGTCTTGTAAGTTTTTTTTTTTTTTTTTTTTTTTTTTTTTGTTAAACCACCTTTAAAAGAACTTATGTATTTTTGTCTCCTCTTAAACTACATACGTGACATGCGAAATAAAAGAATTAACATCTATTTTGCAGGTGCACCCAAATGCTGACAGGCCGCCCCACCTGCGTCTGAAGATGTACGAGTTTGCGGGCCGTGTGGTAGGGAAGTGCCTGTATGAGTCTGCCCTGGGTGGGGCCTACAAACAGCTGGTCCGAGCTCGCTTTACACGTTCCTTCTTGGCACAGATCATTGGCCTAAGGATGAACTACAAGGTATGGAACAAAATACATTCCCACAGAGAAGACTCATTCCTTGGACGTTGGAAGGTCATGTTTTCATTGTTTAACTTCTGGTGTCAGCTGGTCTGTCTCATCACTTTAAAATTCCTAGCAAAGCCAGGAAACCTGATTTGTTTCCTGGCATTATTTATTTCATGGAGAACTAGCCAGTGTGTTTTGCTGTTTATCCAACTTCCTAAGATTTCAAAGCTGAAGATTAAACGAGACCCAATCGTTTTGTTTTTTTATCCTTCCACCGACAACATGAAATGTCATGTTTATTTGAAAACGTCATTTTCTTGCGTTTTTTTTTTGGGGGGGGGTTATTTTCCACACGCAGTACTTTGAGACTGACGACCAGGAGTTCTACAAAACTAAAGTCTGCTTCATCCTAAACAATGACGTGAGTGAAATGGACCTGGTGTTTGCCGAGGAGAAGTACAGCAAGTCAGGACAGCTGGAGAAGGTGAGGCAACACTTTTGGAAAGGAACCTCCTCTTTTATCCCTGATGTAATTTCACAGGAGATAGGAGCAATAAACCAAACAAAAGAAACCATATTGCTTGTTTGGCAGGCAGTTTGGTTTTTTTTCTTAAAGAGAGGGAGTGGTGAGTTTACATTAAGTTTTTAAACCTTTTCAAACTTTGTTTTTGTTGTTCAGTTATAAGATTCCACATAATAACTGGCTGTGTAACTCCCCATCCTGACACAACCTCACAAGCTGACTCCAACCCCCTCCTTTTAATTAGATACACACTTTTTAGCTTTTAAATTGATTAAATATTTATAATGAGGCTGACAAGTGTGTGACAGCCAAACACACATTCAAGAAAGTGTCTGAACTACAGTATATATTCTAATCCCATCTCTACCATCTTACCTTTACTGACCGTTTTTGAGAGCCGCACAATGACAGAATTTTAATCTTGTTTTGTCATTTGTGGTTTTACTGTTTTTTATTTATTTCAGACATATATCTGACACATGTTCTCTTGCAGGTGGTAGAGCTGATATCAGGGGGAGCTCAGATCGCTGTCACCAATGAAAACAAGATGCATTATCTCAACCTGCTGGCACAGTACAGACTGGCCAGCCAGGTGAGAGATGAGGTGGAACACTTCCTGAAAGGTAAGGGAACTAGCACAGCTGCAGGCTGCAATTTTTTTTGCCAATTCCTCTAATTTGACGTCTCCGGTAATGTGCGTGTAATTAGTGTAATTTCCTGATCAATTGCAGGTTTGAACGAACTGGTTCCAGAAAACCTGCTAGCCATATTTGATGAGAATGAGTTGGAGGTATGTGTGATGTTTATAATAAAAATCCTTTTGCTCTTTTACAACATGACTGGGTAATTATAATTTTTTCCTTCTAATCTCTTCAGCTGTTGATGTGTGGCACCGGTGATATAAATGTGCAGGACTTCAAGGCTCACGCCGTGATTGTCGGAGGATCATGGCACTTCAGAGAGAAAGTATGTCATGGAAAATCTCTGTCTTCCTTTTCTCCTAACAGCAGAACAGTGATGAAAATGTCTGAGCATGTTGATTTTCTGTTGCTACAGGTGATGAAGTGGTTCTGGGCTGTGGTGTCCAGCTTCACCCAGGAGGAGCTGGCGCGTCTGCTGCAGTTCACCACAGGCTCCTCTCAGCTTCCACCTGGGGGATTCAACACTCTTTGCCCCTCCTTCCAGATCATTGCCGCCCCCACACACAGCACCTTGCCCACTGCACACACCTGGTGAGTAGGAAAACACAGGCAGATATATTTAAAAGACAAGGCTGGTGTTGTTCTACATGTTTCTTACTGGCTCCATATCCCATGAAATGGCCAAAACCAACAGTGTGTTAGTCTGTCTCACATCTCACTTTTTGACTTTAGCAGCAGCAGCAAGCTGCGTGCGTGCGTGCGTGCGTGCGTGCGTAATGAAGGAATTTGTCACCCAGTGCAACAGTGTGGGTCACTCATGTTTGTTTAATAGTTTTTGTACAACAATGGAGCTCTGTGGCACAGATGAATATGCTACATTATGCTAGGAAATACTTACAATAAAGTGATTGTTGGTTTTGGTCTTTTCATTTTATTTGTTAGCAATAAGAAAAATATAGAATATTATGTTTGATCACACGTAGCATTATATGTAAAAGTTACATTGATACTTAATCAGAATTTATACATCAGCTGACTCTTCGTGTTCCTCTTCTCTGTGCAGTTTTAACCAGCTGTGCCTCCCTACCTACGACTCCTATGAGGAGCTGCACAAGATGCTGAAGCTGGCCATCAGTGAGGGCAGTGAAGGCTTCGGCATGCTCTAACTGCTCCATCACTGACACTGTGGTTCCACTCGCACAAGAGGAGACCAGCACCGGCCTCTTCAGCGCACCAGTTCCTTGCATTCATCTGCATTTAACAGTTGGGCCCAGACTCCCTATAAGTACTCTCTCTCAGGATGAGAGGGCATTACAGGAAGTTGAGAAGGCTGAATTGGAATCAGGACTTGATCATATGAACTATAGTACTACTGTATATATAATAAAATATCTCGTTTTTGTAAAAAAAAAAAAAGAAAAAAAGAAAAAAAAGAAGAAAAAAAAGGAGACTACGGACTGCTGGAAAAGGTGAGGTTTGGGCTAATTTTATTTCTTAAAGCTAAAAGTTTGCTAAGTTTTATATGTTTGAAAGACACAGGATGCTAGAGCAAAGGCCTTGAGTATTACTGTATAATCGCTTATTTTGCAATTTGCAAACTGAGGAACACTTAAGTGCAACAGCAGCCTACATGTGATGTGGGTGACATGCATCTACAGCACTTTGGCCTTAATCGATCAGGGACTGATGTTTGTATGTAAATATCTAATATCACTCTTTTATTTCAATACTTGTACATACTAGTGTGTATACATACCTTTTCATCTTGTTACTTTTTGATTTGATGTTCAATGAGAGGGGATTTCTTTATTGTTGCACGTTTTGATGGGTTGAGAGTTTATATAATTTCTATAAGCTTTTTTGTTTTCTGGTAGAGATGAATGGGTTTTAAAAAGAAGCCAAGTAATTTCTATTGTTTGTACATGTTTTTAACTTATTGTGTCTTGAAAAAATATTTGTGTTGACCCATACTGTTGAAGCTGTTTATCTGGAGCGGTAAATGATTTTGTTGTTTTATAACCTGCCTTATTCATGCCCTTTGCCTCTGATTGTATCCAGAGAGGTGCGTAGGTGAGAGAAACATAGTTGACAATAATAGGTAAAAGTTATTGCGACATTTCTACCCCCCCCCCCCACAGAATTCATTGTGGATGTGTGTGTTGGTTGGATGTTGGGGAGAGTCCATATATAACAAACATTTTGTTATATATGCTTTGTGTTTTTTTTACTTTCTCCTTCACAGCCTTTTATGGGTTTACCTCAGAATCTCCTATGCCACCTATGCATCCTCTGACACAGGTGTATATGTGTTCATGCGCATGTAGGGCAAAGCATACACACACAGTTCGTTCATAGTTGCCTCCTTCCAACCCGTGACTGTCCAACCTTTAGCCATAATATCCCACATCCTCAGTACACAAAAGCATTATATCTTTTTGGAATATTCCCTGTTTGTTTTTCATTATGTTATTGTAAAACTATTTATTTTTAATGGTGTAAGCATCGTCTATATTCTGAGCCAACAGAATTGTTTTCTTAGGTTTTTTTTCCTGTTCATAATTGTTTAGCTGTCCCAGAGTTTACATGTTCATTAGCCATTTTGTAATAGTGTGTGCTGCCAGTCAGACTGTTTGTAGAGCATTTAGGAAATTCCTTGTTTAGACTAAGAAGCAAAAAGAAAATGTTTCTGATAATTCCTCTCAATAGCATTTTGATTTGAATGTGTTCATGTTTCTACACAGAGCACTCTGAATGCGGCTCCATTCCTCACATCATTCTCACAGCCGGCAGTAAAAGTTTGACTCGGCCACTAAGAGATTTAACTTGTTGAACGGCAAAGACTTAATTGCGTTGACTCAACAGAGCCAATACAGTGGGATTTGATTAGTATTTGCTTGAGCTTTAGCTGGCCTTTAACAGTGTTAAGAGGTTTTGTCAGAGGGTTTGTGGATTTGTGTGTGTTTGGGTTGTGCAATGTTGACTTGATGTTGCTGAGGAGAACAGTGAAATGCTTATGAAAATGTTTCATTAAGCACCAATACCAATGGCTGATATCATATATATATATGAAGTAAAGGTAGTCGAAGCATTACATGTGTTAGTTCCATTAGATGACATGACCATTATAAACAAATATGAAGGAGGTCTGTCCTGTAGTTTTATGTTCTTGTCTTTTCATGAGCACCTACTACTGTTTTATGTTTGGATGGTCTCTGGGTTAGTTTGTCCGAGTGTGACTTTTAGAAATGTAGATATTGTGAAATATTTGCCTATGACTTTGAAGCTGGGGTACGTTTTTCCTTTATTTTTTTTTTTTTTTAATGGCAAGCCCATGTTGATGAATGTTTGAGATTCTCTGCACTGCAGGTCCTTTGTTTAATGGAATTAAAAAAAAAATGATGGACGGGATTCTTATCTCACTTTTTGTGCATCATATTTGGATTGTGTTTGGCAGTGTGGATCAAAATGATTACAGACCCTTCCAGCGCTGAATGTTGGACTTGGAGATGGCTTGTGGAGCTGACCTTACAGGGCAAGTAGTTCTTAAACTTGTGTCTGAAAATTGTTATGTACCTGGAGAGGAGCCCATGGGTGTACTCAACATAATGTAGATCAGGACATTGTTATTGCCTCAACTTGAGGTAAAGAATTGGAGAGAATGTAACACTCCAGTCTCTAGCACTTCTATCTTCTTAATACAGATACATAAATGTATACATAAAAGTTTTCTATCAAAATTTGTTCCCATATTTGGCATAAAAACTTCTCTGTTTGGGGAAAAAGTTTGGGAATGCTACCTCTTAATAGCTCATGTTGAGTTCCTTAGCGTGGTGTTTGTTGCAGTGAAGGCTAAACAAAAGCCTGAATTGTCATCTGTCATCTGTCATCGGCCAGCAGAGTTCATATTTTGGACACAAGGGGGCAGTGTCTCTACATGTGACACGAGTAGAGGCTATGTGCCTCCTCTTGCTGTCATCCCCCGGCACAGGACAGCAGCAGTAAATGATGAGGGGCTTTCCTGTCTTCAGCTGACCCTCCACACTTGAAGTTTTCAACACAGAGAGCAGGCCAGATTGAATCCCCCCCTCCCATTACAGACATTTCTCATTTCCCCACACACATACAACACATACCTCATGAAACACATGAAAATAAACAAAGTTCATTCAAACCTGCTGGTTCCATGTCAGCTGAAGGCCTAATGAAATCAGTCTTTTGAGAGCGCCTCTGTTTATGGAATGTGATAATACCTAACTGCTGAAAGTGAAATGGAAAACAAGCGCTCCCTTTCCTTTCACGATGTGGGGATGGTGGCATAGCTGACAGCATTATCAGCACAAGATGTGAGAGGTGCACTCTCCTGCACTTCTGATTGTTTGCTTCCTCAGTGGGACCGTCTCATAATGGGCTCGACAAGTAAAAATTCATTTTTAATTGCTTTGCTTGAAGGCCGTGGACACGCAGGCCCCATGGACCTCCACACTACACCCACATGTTCCTGGCGTCTCTCCTCACGCTGTGGTCTGAACACTATCAGGAGCAGGCAGAAAGGCATCTTGAAGTACTTGGAGGCAGGAGTTCAGTTATTTGGTCTTGGCATGCACCTGCGGATTTGCATAATGGTCTCTCTCGAATTTCCCCCAGGAATGCTTGCTAAAGAGGGACCACAAATCAGAAAGTCATCCTCTGGCGCTCACCAAGAGTAATGTACCATGTTGGAATGGTTCTTCTTCCCAAGAGAACCTGTGGGAGATCACTCAGCAACAACACTGTACATTTTTGTAAATTCATCTGATGATACTAATTCCCTGGGAAAACATGTTTCTCTGACAAATTTTCCATGTACTATTCCATAAACATCTCCAGACCTGACTGCAGCTTGGTTTTGGAGTTCGGGGTTGCCAAGTTCCTCGGGGAGTCAATTTATGGGTGGTTCTCGTCAACCAAAGAATTTACATGATCGAAAATGCAGTGCCTCATTTCCCATCTCTGAGTCAGACACCCTGCCTCTGAGGAGATGTCCATCAGTTTCTCTGATCAAAGATAATTGTCCACAGACATTGATCTTCACAGGACAGAGAACACAAATGTGGCACGCCTTTAAGTATCTTTAGAACATGACCGCTTTCTCCCTCCTTCCTGCTAGACAGCCGTGGGGTTGTCTGCTTCCCATTCCAACATGCAGGTCCTCATTACCTGATTGGACGCCGCTGATTACCTGCCAACTGGATTGGCTGCAGGTATTCATCATCTGTGATGACTGGGCCGATTTAGAGGCCAATCTTAATCAGGGTTGTTGAAGGACAGAGGAGAGCATCGCTGCAGCAGCAGGCCTGGACTGAAGTTCTCCCCAGGAAGTTTACTCTTCACTGTGTAGTGTACTGACTTCATGTTATCCTCAGGCCTCGGTCCAAACTCTGGCTAACATCAGGTCTCTGTGTGTGAGCATCCAAAGTCCTTCTCCAGAATGAGCAGAGTATGAAAGGAGAGTTCTCTCCCTCTCTCCACAGTGGTTGACCACTAAAATGACTTTGACTCTTTGGCTTTTTGGAGGGAGTTTCTGCCTCAGCTGTCTCTTCTATACTTGCACTATCAGGGTCTTAATTGGCTCTTTTTATGACTGGTGACAGTGTGGTTCTGCGATTGATGTTGTTGAGGATTATGGGGAAAACGGCTGTGAGAAATACACATCACAGTGATGACAATGGTCTGGCAACAAAGTGCAGCAAAGGAATGTATGGATGGGATACTGCTGCTGATTAAAGAGATTTTTCCCTCCATCTCTTGATATTTCACAGATTCTCTGTTGCTCCTATCAATCCTTTGTGATTTAAGTGCTGAGACCTGGCTCTCAACACCTGAGCTGGGATACAGCGAGTCCACGCTGAATAATATGTACGAGTGGCCACACATACATGAAAAGGCCTCATTAAAATATGTTCCTCTCGCAGAAACAGGACCTCCAACACATGTTTTGTTTTGAAAATGATATAAACCTCCATGCGTACTGAGGTCAGACACAAGCAGAAGCTTACAGCCATGAGTGGTCTTGAAAAACTGCTAGCATGGAGATTAAGTGTCCCCCAGCTGATGGTTGTCTATGTTATATATGATGTTGGAGAGAAGGTATTGATTCATGGGGTTAGTTGTCCTGCTGGGATGTGCAGCTGTATTATATTCGGTGTGTCGGGAAACATTTCAGTCCTTATATTTCCTCTATAAAGACAGGGCCTCTAATGTAGAAGACTGTCCAACTGTTTGACAAACACCCCCTTGCCACTCCACTCTTATTGTCAGTGTGTCACTGTAGCAGGTATGAATGGACTGTGAATCATTCATCCTGTCAGCAAAAGTGTAGCAAACAGTCAGTGGAGACGAAATGTTTTCAGCCATTTAGATGGTGGGCCAAGTTCAGTCCAGACTGAAATATCTAAACGACTATTTCATAGATTGCTATGAAATATTGTACAGACATTCATGGCCCTCAGAATCGTGCATGACTTAGGTGAATCCCTGACTTTTCCTCTGGGAACAAAATGAGGTTGACATTTTTGGTTTTTAGAGAAATATCTTGACAGCTGTTGGATGGAATGCCATGAAATTCTGTACAGACGTTCATGGTGCCAAGAGGATGAACCCTGATTACTTTGGTGACCCTGCAGCTTTTACTGTACTGGCACCAGCAGGTCAGCTTTTTCACTGATCCTCTGACATATGTCATCATGTAATAGATGGAAACAGACATTCATGGTTTCCAGAGGATCAAGCATTTCCCTGACTTTTCCTCTAGTGCAACCGTGAGGTTTTGTGTCTTGATAACTATTGTATGGATGCCATAAAATTTGGTACAGACATTCATGATCCCCTCAGGATGAATTGTAATAACATTAGTGATGCTTGAGTCAAAATTTTAATTTCATAACAATACTTTGGTTTATGAATGATGATATCCCCATCAGTCTCAGCTGTATTTTGTGCTGTTTATCGTTAGCATGTTAACATGCTAACATTTGTGAACA